TAATACACATAACGGCGCCCAAAAGAATGCGGTCATTGACCCGAAATAGTATATCTTCTGCCAATTGGTGTTGGCTTTGGTCAGACACACCGACACTAGACTGCCGTCGATATACCGCGCCTGCGATAGCTCCGTCCCAAACAGCACCGGTATTGTGGCCACAAATGCCACACTCCATACAATACCAATAATGACCATTGCTCTACGAATCGTACACTTATAGCCCGCTTTCAATGGCTTACAAATCGCGTAATACTTATGCGGAAAAATTAATTAAAATATTTACTTAAATAACAATTAGGAGCTAACTATATATAAATTATAAAATTTTTTTTGCATTAGTGACCGAAATAGTATTCCTTATAGGAATAGTTTATAACTCTAATAATAGGCAATAATTTTGATTAGATTGTCGGCAGTGAGTGTGAAATGTGTGAACAATAGAAAGACTGTTGGACTCACTCTTTCAAAAGAGATGGCAAGTATGGTAAGTATGGATCCGTGTGCGACCACCAGCTCCACGAAGGGAACCGCTTTGCCTGCAGTCGAGTGTTAATAAAGATATTAAATTTAATACATTCATCATTACTTGTATTACACATGTATTGAGTTTAGCTTTTTATGCCTATCTATCAATTTATGACATCTTATAAAGTGCTGTCAGATTTGCACTACACATACAGTGATTGTCTATAAATAAAAACAGATAAATGAATGAAAGATTGATTTCTTATTACATATTTTAATGAAATTTCTTAATAAATTTTTGCTCAAAAATAATAAACATTTTGAAAATGAAAAACTGAATGATAAATGAGATGATATTAATAATGTTATTAGATAAACAGACCTAAATTAAAACTCTTTAATTCCTAAAATATTTAATATAAACACCGAATGATATAATATAAATAATAAAACATGAAATCTTTTCTCAGAAGTAATGAAAAATAAAAATACAATTTACTAATATAAGCTTATTTGCATTCATAAATTAGTGTAATGTTTTGAAAACAATTTTAAATTATTTATATCACAAGAAAAAATGTTTTAAAATCGTTTGTCGGGAGAGATATACAGAACTGATTCCCGTTTTAAATCAGAATATTCTACACATAATGCGAGGGATAGCCAGGTATAGCTATTATAGTAGAGATGACTGGGTGGGGTTGTCATACACACCCCATAGACCCTGCCCATTTTAATGTAAATAATAGGTTTAGTCACTAAACTTTAGTGAATGACATTCTTTAGGCAAAAATGTAAAGTATTTTGCATTTTAAGCGTTTAGTGAATTCATTGCTAAATGAGATAAATTAAAGCAATAAAATTGTGAGCAATAAATAAGATTTACTATCTTTTGATTAATGAGTTAAATATAGAATTTGAATAGAGTTTTAAAAATTACACATTTGTTTGATTTATTTGTTAAGAATCTTACTAGTTAGTTTCAAAGTCATTGCTAAACGAGACAATTAATTAT